GCTTCGAGGTTTGCTGGGGCTGGGGTCGAAAGTCTGAGCCGGGAGTCCAACACCCTGAACGCTGGAGAACCCCAACTCGTGCGCAGCAACGGAAGGGCAACTCCCTTACGCTTGCCGGCACGGGACATCCTTAGCGAGGATGACGTCGCAGCCCTGTGGCATCACCTGAATCAGAAGACGCCAAGGCTGCAGGGGAAGAAACATAAGGGCTGTTCGACGCGGACTTCAGAAAAATCTGAGCGCCTCATCATCAGTATCCGATTGCCCAGTATTTTGTCAAACTAATTGTTATATGTAAGCCCTATAGAGTCCCCCTAATGCATCATAGAAAGCACACCATGGTAAAGAGTCTAGTCTGGTCGCGTGGTAGCGGTGGCGACACTCTAAGCCGCTGCTAGAGAAGACTAGGGAATAATTCGACGCCGCAAGTCGCTTCAGCTTTGGGGTAGGGTTTCTAGGTTTTTGAGGTAAGAGCTCGACAAGCATCTAGCATATATGGTTAGAGTATCACCACGTAGACTTGTATTTACAGCAATTCCGCGTCTTGGCCCCTTAATGAGCTGTTAGGGTCTGCGGTCTGGGGCATCGGACTCACGGCTTAGCGGTTAATGTTCTCGGCTGTCTGGGCCTACAAGTGCTTCCAGGATCAGAGTGGTGGCTCAGGTTTCTTGGTGTTCTACGATGCACAGAACTTCAGGTAGGTCAGTCTAAGACCTCCAATCTTGCCTTGGGAAGGACGGTGCCAACCGTGCTCCGAACATGTGTGCAGGCCTGGGGCACTCCTCTTTCAACCCCCCCCCCCCCCCCCCNNCCCCCCCCCCCCCCCGCCCCCGCCCAAATTCCATGATTTAGGGGCCTGGTTCATGCGAGTAGGCCTGTTTAATCTATGCAGGCAAGGGATCCCAATAATCAAACCGATGCTGCAAAACTTACGGCTTATCCCTATAATTTGACTAAACCCTTCGCCTCGATTCCCGTCAAGTTGGACAGGTCCGTCTGGATGAACCTGGCAAGAAATCTAGCTGCTTCGGAAATTCAGGGGTTGTGTTCCTACATGGGGATGTCTCAAATTTATATATAAGCCCAACAGTATCTCCACAGCCAATACAGGGGAGACGGCTCGAAATGTGCGAAACTGTGCAACCCAGGCCCAGCCAAGACTGGCTCCAAATTAGGACGAGAACCTCAAAACCCCTCCTCACCGCACACAGTGCGCTGTGCGGAGACTGAGCAGTGCACTGCATCTTGGGAAACCGCCGGAAGTTGATGGCCAAGCAGAAGGGGGTGATGTCCTCAGAAGGCGTCGGGAGTTTGCGAGAACGGGCTATAGGCCCAGGGTCAACACAAACGTTTCACACCCACACGGCACTGCTGGTGAAAAGAACCTCACGATGTGCATCCTGCTCAGCCTTGAGATCTTCCTGCAGAACAGAACGCATGTGCACTTGTGTGGTGCCGTATTTCGGACATTCACCTTGAGGAAATTTTTGTTTCAAGCAGGCGATTGCCTTCGCTTGATGCGGAGCCCCCGACTACTTAGTAAGACCCCGTCCCGTCGTCGCCCTTTGGCTTTAGGTAGATAGGTCGAGGCGGGCATGAATGGCTGCAGTGCTCGAGGTTCTGCGATTCCGCGAGTTGGAGGCTTTTGGACATCAATTCAGGGATCTCGGGTTGGAGTACAGTGTGCCTTTCAACGTCTTTTAGCTTGGTGAGCAGCTGGGGCCCCGGGGCGTGAGGATACACAGCCCTATCCAGGGCTTTGAGTCCCAATACTGAGCATAAGACGACGCCGACATATGTAACCAGGGGATGCTCTTGCAGGAAGTACCTGGGAGCTGCTCGAGATGCAAGCGCATGCATGCTGGGATTCGGGCAAGACGACATTCTGGCTGCTGACAATTCTGCAGATCGATCCGAACATTCAAGCTCTGACTGCTTGCTAATCCTCGTGACCTGTTTTGAGTCTGTCACCCGCAGGCCTCCCCCGAGCGTACTGGTGACTAGTGGGCACAGGAGCCTGGTGCCGAGGTCTAGATGGGACCGAAAGCAGGCAAGCTTAGCCTCATCGCCTGGGGAGTTGGAAACACCAAACTTCGCTCCTGGTAAGGCTTGTCAGAAACCGCAAAAGGGCATCCTAGATGCTCATTACAATGATCCCCTGTGCTCCAAATCCCAACGCCAATAAGCCTGAAGATCTCTGCTCCTGTCATGTTGCGTGAGAACATACCACACAGGACCTGTGGCTGTACACAGGGTGCAGGTAGGTAGCTAGGAGCTGAGGTAGCAATCAAACATGACGAGAAGGTTCAAACACACGTAGTGCGTCCTGCGTCATCAGAGCCACATGAACCTTTGCACAATGTGTCTGGGTCAGGTGCAGAGAACTGTTTGATTACGCACATCCCTCAACACCGGTCCCACAGCGCACTGCATCCACGACATATCGCCGCAGCCGACGTCCAGGAGGGTCCGAATGTCCGGAAACCGCGCCATCAACTGCGCTGCAGCTTTGGGAACTCAAACATGCACCACGCAGCTTCCAGAAGGAATTCATCCAGGCTTATAGGTCTACGTGAACCCCCAAAAAGTATGCAAAAGCTGGAAATCCTTACACCAAATAGCGGCCTTACGGTTGGGGGACCCAGATGAGGATGTTCAAACTGTGCGGGGTCTCTCCAGTTGCGGAGTGATGTACACCGCCGGGGACCTCAGATCATTATTTGGATTAGAGAACTACCCAGGTAACCAGGTGAAAGAACCAGATCTTGCAGCTTTTAGCATCAGGGTTCGACTTCATGCTTTGGTCGTGGCGGTGGGAGCTGAGCTTTATATAGGGCTGCAGCGGACTAAGGGAAAAGATTGAGGGCGCGTAGCAAGCCTACATGAAGACTCTGCGACTTTCATCCGAAACACCAATGCACTGTGCGGAAACCCCGGAACCGTCGAGCAAAGTCAAGAGGCGTCTGACAGAATGACTTGAGCATCAAGCTCTTCATCCCAAGAAGCAACGTCCCCCCTCCGCGAGCAGGAACTGTTCAACTTCCACAAACACCACAAAAGAACTCTGTCTCGTTCGCCTTGTTCAAGGCATTTACCGCCAGCCGTGCCATGGGATGCCATGGATCGGCACCTTTTCAGCGGCTTGTTTCCCCACTTGTGGTAGCCGGGACAGCTGGGTCGAAAATTTCCAATTAAATGTGAACCGCAATCTGGTGCCTTAGCCCTTGTAACGACGATCCTCTTGGAGGTCCCTGCAGAGCCCCAAGTGACGACACCTGCAATGTCTTCTACAGCTTGAAATTCTCCATCACGTTCGGTTCGAGCCCAAAGCCTTGCACATTTCATTGTCAGACTGGGACCTTTAAGTGCCAAGGCTTCGAGGAGCTGGGATCGTCGTGGGTGGCATATAGCTGAATGTAGAACTCCCATTCAATTCACAACTCAGTGCCTACAAGCCGATGAAAGAGGTCTTAAAGGCTAACCACAAAAACCTTTTCGCACTGCGGCTACCAAAGCTGTGTACTCACAACAAATTAGAGATGTAGTCCCAACCTGCTGAGTCTTGATCCTGAACCCTCCCACTAAGAACTTCTATTTATGATCTATAGAATCTATATAGTATAACATGATTGCTATATGGTCGGATTGCACAGTGAAGCTGGGACTGGGCATTCAGTTATACGTGGCACTTTCACGCAAACAAGGAAAAATCTGAAGGACCACGCAACAAGGTATCCATCGCATCAAGAAATGGCCCTTAAGAGCAGGGCCCCATAAGCTTACGAACATGCTGGGTGGGACAGCAACCGACTCTGGGGTTCCCCGCGCGCGCCGCTGAGGGAGCTAAAGCCGCCGAGGAGGTTCGAGTGGTAGACCTTGGTTGCTTCTTTGGAGTCTGTGTGGTGTGTGGTTACAGGGGTCGAGAGGAAAAGGGGTTGACAATTTAGGGATCTGGGGGTGGAGGGGGCGCACACGCTGTGGTTTGCACTGGACTTGGGGCGGGATGGGTGTCGAAGTTCTGGGGTTTGGGTTGACTCCCGTTTGTGGCTCTAAGGTTGCGGGTTTGGCTCCCGGATTTGGCGGATGTGGTGCGTCGGATGAAAGGTGGCAGGTCTGGCTGGTAGGGATTATGAATCCATGGTATGAGCGTCATGGGTTCAGGCTCAGTCAAAGAAGTCCGTTAAGCCTGCAGCCAGACCTACAAACGATTGAAGCCGTGGTCTCAACAGAGTTGCACAAAGTCCTCCAAATCCCTAGAGCCCTGGAATATAAACCCCAACTTACGCGTCTCTTCACCTCTCGACTCTTGCATCTTTAGGCTTCAGGTGTTTAGCTTGGCACTCAGAGGAGAACAACTGAAAATCGAGGCTTTGATCTGTCACAGAAGCTCAGAAGCTGCAGATGTTTTTGCCTTTGAATCCTCAGCGTTGAAGACTTGCTGGTGCATCCTTCTGGTAGATCTTCAAAGTTGATGGCGTGGGGGATTCAACTCAAGCTCTACTGCACAGAGCATGTCATCTTGCCTGTTGTGCCACTAATGCAGACTTCGCTGTGCTCCTGGCCGTGCCGAAAGCATCGTACTTGTGCTGCAGCGAGATCATGTCGGGCCTAGTCACAGTCAGCATGCAAAAACTTGAGTTAATACTCTCAAAGCCATCAGGAGAACTTTTGCGCTCAGGGCTTTCGCCTGCATCATTTGGCTTGGAGTCTTGGGCTTCAGGGCTCCGGGCACTCTTGGGGCTGAGGATGAGAATGCGCACGATTGTGATGACGACATCGCATGTACACTCTTTCTGAGCTCCATATGGAGTTGAATTTTTTGCGATGAATGCTGTGGCTCTGAGGTGTAAGGTTCACCGATCTCAGAAGGAAGACTCGAAGCAGTCTTTATTCGGCCTCCACTCTGCTGCCACATTCATGGCGCACTCGAAGGTCAACACCTACAGAGCTGTGGAGGTCTGGGATCCTTTCTAAGTCGATTCTAAGTTCTGGCCTCCCTAAGGGCCCTTACCATCTTAAACTTCCTTATTCGGTTAGGGGAGCAATTCCTTGCACACACCCCCAATGGTTCCTGGGAGCTGGAGCTTCCAGGAAAGGTGCCAGTAATACGTCATGAAGCACGTCATGAAGCCACGAAGAAGAGATGCACTTTAGTTGGATATAGCTGTGGATATACTACTCTTTGATGCCAGTTGTTAATCGCCGAGACATACCCCAGTCAGAAGCAGACTTCGGCGATCCGGATGTGTGACAACGAGCCCAGGCTAAAGGGATTCCGTCGAGGTTTCGCCACAAACAACTAATTGAAGGGTCGATGGCTTTATGGCTGAATGCTTTCAAAACATATAATAGATGGCTGACCATGGAGCATAAACGAAAGGTTCGGATTGAGCGTTCAAGGGCTGAGGACTTTGGTGGGCAGGCCCACGCCATATCTTGTGGTGCCATTGAGGAATACACTGTTCAGAAGCCGGGCGCCTTGAAAGGTAATTAAAGCAAACCCGGCATCAGGGTTCATGCATAGTTGCGTGTTGGAGCTATACGTGCAATGTGCTGAAGACATCACCAGCTCCGGCGATCACGGCGACTGCGACGCTACGCACAAAAATGCGTGAAGCTGAATGCTCAGTTAGGCTTTCTCATGTCGAGAAGCGTCGTTCAATGTCCGGCTCCGGGAGTGCACATTACATTTAACCCAGAGAAGTTCTATGTACTGTTTCGCTAGACATCCCAACATCATACATCCCCGGGACCTCGAGACTGGCGTCCTGGATTTCTCATCTTGGAGCCGTTTCTCTTCCGATGTCTTGGCTGCTGCCCTCCTTCAGCTTCCCGCCCAGTCTGGACGGAAGTCTCAACGTTAAAGCGCAGACTTCGCGTGGTGAACTTCGGGGACGTGTAGCCAGTTCCAGGAGAAGCGAGCTTGATGCTCTCGTCAAGTCGCTGCTGTTCCTTCAAACGTCCGGGCTTGACCGGCTGCTTTTCTGTATGTAACGTCGGCCCTAAATCACTCCCTAAATCCCTAGCTCAACCCCTACTATGGCCCGGGCCACTGGCAGCTTGAGAAGCTCAAAGTCTCGCTTGATGAGGCGCGCATGCTCCTGAGCACAAAGAGTCACAATAGATCTCCACAGGGTTCTGTAGGGTATTCTGTAGGCTTTACAGGCTGCCTAGAGCATGGCCCATAGGACTCAAGTATGAGACAAAG